ATGCATGCAAGTTTGCTTTTTTTAAACAAATTTTATAATTTGTTCATGCTACCTAGTTCAAGAGAGCTTTTTTGAACATTTGCAATACCTCACCTCTTGTTAATAATTCTAGTGCATGCATATGGTGTATACAGGTAAGTAAACATGCATTTTTTTTTCACATTCTAAAACTATGGCAGTTTAGGCCATATTGTGCTGCCTGCATTTTATCTGCAATGCAGTGTGTCTCTAACGTTTTCAATCCCGTATTAATAGGTGGCATTTACACATAACACCTATATAGCAGCAAAGCTAATACAGCTTGTGATTAAAAATGTTTAAAAATAGCTAATAAATCAGATTATCTTGAGGTATTATTTCTTGCAAGTCAAAATGGAGAGCAAAAAAACAACCCTAATTTTTTAGTTTATGTATACACTGAAAATAGCAACAATAAAAATAAGCCTTTGTAGCAGACATATTCCATCTTCACTATTATTTTGCTACCTTTGGTAAATTACTGGGGCAGATCTTAAAGTTAAAAACCCACGTTTAGAAATAAGTGCACGCTTCACCCACTATATAGCAGCAGACTGTTTGCCCCTACGCAAAACATTCTCATATCTAACTTTAACTTTACATATAAAAATAACTTGGAGAAAATACAAAAGAACATTTTATTTTAACATGAAAATATCACAAAAATTAGTAAGCCTGAGATGTAGGGTTTTGGTGAAAAACAAGAGGCTTGTAGTGTTTTGGCTGCTGATAAAGATGCATGTATTGATAGCTGGGGTGAAAGCAGAAGAATGCACTTATTTCTTCTGCATGTCAGTATCTTCAGACACAGTAAGCCACATGCACCCTTTCTTTCCTTGTTGAACAGAGGCCGGTCAGCTGTTCTTAGTTCCAGCGGAAGTGGATCTGACGTGGGCGATCAGCGCCTTCCTTTACCAATGGCTTATGGAACTCACGTCCTGCACGGGAGTGGATATTTGCCCAACAAAACTCACAGTAATACTGCAGGCAAGTGACATTGGCACAAAAAAAGGGAGCAAACTTGCCGCCACAGCGTGCGCCCTGGCACTCATCACACATCTGGTCGTCCAGCACATATGGCTTCACCTCCACCTAGAAAGAGAGGGAAGACAAGGCCCGTCAAGTCGCCTCAGGTGCCGCTTTAGCATTGATTTAAGAGGTTCATGCAGTGGTCTAGAGAGATGGAGCGGCACTCAATGCTGAAGGGAGGAGGCAGTTTCCTAGGGCGATAGCTTCCCATGGTGGTTTAATCGCAAAGTCATGACTGACTCTTGAGATCCCATAGACTGCAGCCCGCCAGGCTCCTCTGTCCACGGGATTCTCCAGGCAAGAATACTGGAGTAGGTTGCCATTTCCTTCTCCAGAGTATCTTCCTGACCCAGGAATCGAACCCAGGTCTCCTGCATTGCAGGAAGAGTTTTTACCAACTGAACTATGAGGGAAGCCCAGCTTCACCACCTTGTAGGTTAAACAAAGTACATCATTTTGTTCTTGTGGTAATCTTTTTGTATGTCTTAGGTTCATAATTGACCATGTGACTCAATAAGCACTTAGTGTGGTAATTTTATTGTATTTTGATATATTTCTTCTGAGAACTATTAACTGCATACTATTTACATAACTTTATTCCCCAAAGACAAAAAATAATTTATAAAAACTATAAAATCCTAATTGATTCACAAAACATTCCACCCTCACCTTTCTTGAAGTTGACATCTTTAAAACACCTGTGTGTTGATCTTTTCAGAGATGAGGGTAACTGTGAGTCAAAATGAGCAGGGCATGTAAGACAAATGCACTTGCACCTTTGTTCTCTCTTCCCAGCCCCACCGGTGGGATGGAAAACCGTAACAGCCCCTGGTCCTGGCAACGCTGCTCTCCTGCAGGTGAGCTGAAGCCCTGCTCAAAAATAACTGGTGCCAACAAACCAGAGCTGTGGATGACTCTATGAAGGGCATGTCCAGACTTCTGAGAACTAGTAACACAGAAGTCAAAGTCCCACTGTGAAAGCGTGACTCAGGAGAAGGTCTCACTTAAGGCAGCTCTTGATGCTAAACCTCTTGACCTCAGTTTCCGTACCTGTGAGATGAGAAAGGCACTAGACCCTGCTTCCTAGAGTTGTGAGGATTAGATGATGCAAGCAAAAGCACGTAAGACAGTGCTTGGTACCTGGTAAATACTCTGTAAATTAGCACTGGCCACTATTAGCTGCAATGGCCTTACTTTCTGGCTTGTGAGAACTTTATGAATGACAGGTTACTGCTTTTATCTGACTGAATAGTGCCAGGCAGTCTAAGATCTTTGCATTTCCTGAGAGGAGAGAAAATTGAGTGTTTAAATGGCTTGGTTTGCCCAAGGTAAAAAAAAATAATGACCTGATTCTATTTTGAGTGTATTCTATTGAAATACTTGCATGTGTATAGAAAATAAATATATAAGGGTATTTTTTCAGCATTATTTCGAACAAAAACAATAACAACAAACTGGAAACCACCTAGTTGACTGATGAAAAGAACTGTAAAACATTTGATAGGAAAGTAATGAAATAACATTTTTGTTTGTATTTGTATTGTGTTGGTCAAAAAGTACATTTTCAGTACGATCTTATGAAAAACCCAAAGGAATTTTTTGGTCAACCTAATATTTTATGGTTAGGGTTAGGAAAAACATGAAAAAAAAGTGAAAGTTAGTTGTTCAGTCATGTCCAACTCTTTGTGACCCCATGAACTGTGGCCCACCAGGCCCTTCTGTTCATGGAATTCCCCAGGCAAGAATACTGGAGAGGGTTGTCATTCCCTTCTCCAGGGGATCCTCCCAACCCAGGGATTGAACCCAGGTCTCCTGCACTGCAGGCAGATTCTTTACCGTTTGAGCCACTAGACTGTATATTTTATATATATTGGACATTTTGCTTTCCTGAACTGTCTATATTTTTTGCATATTTTCCTGCTGGTGTTTTCTTTTTTAAAATTAACTTATAAGTCCTCTTTGCCAGTTAAGCATTTTTAATCTTTCTTTCCATTGGCTTTTGATTTTTAAAATGATCTTTGACACAAATTCTAAAATTTGTATGCTCCATCTTTGTCTCCTACCTTTTTCCTTTACAGATTCTACCTTGATCAGCAGGCTATTATTTTTGGCTCATTACCTCATTATAACTATAACTAAGGAAGCCCATTACTGTAACCAAAGAAGAGGTCAAGGCGTCATCGGAACTGCCGGGTCTCACTTCACTGGAGGGTAACTGTGAGCGAAAGGACTGCCTGCGTTTGCTCAATGGTCAGTACTATCTGGCGGCACATATAACACAAAGCTGAAACTACATAAATGATTTCAATTATCTGTATTTTTAAATTCTAGATGTTATTTTATACAGCTAATCTGGCGAGCTACAGTCCATGGGGTCACAACAAATTGGATTAAGTAAGACTCAGTGAGTGAATGACAAACAACAAATCTACTTAATTTAAAACCTACAAAGATGAAAAAATGGATTTCAAATCTATGATTGTATAATATAATCAAAACCTATTTGTGATTCATAATCTCTATCAATGCTTGAATGTGTGAAAGGGAGTTTCAATGATTCTTCATGCTTCTTATTTCTTCATTAGAATGTCTTCCCTTTTCCACTACAGAAGAACTGTGACACACCATCACCTGGATTCATAACTAACAAAATAACTAATAATTAGCCAATCTGAAGTATAACACAATTCATTTCAGAAACTACCAGAAGCCAGAGTGAATTATACTACCCATTGAATAAAATATAATAAATAAAAATGATTTATACATTTGTGGTGACTGTTCTTCACAGCTATTGGGAAGATGAAACTAAATTTCAAAGTACTCATGAGCCTAAAAAATGCATTGAATAAACAATTTTAATTCCCTCCAAATAAATATACTATCTTTGTATTTCAGATAAATTTAAATGTAATCTGCTTTTATGGTTCAATTAGTGAGATGAAAGGTATAAAGATTAGTAATTCAATTTTTTTGTATAATGACTTATAAAATATTTAAGGCTCAAATCCTTTCCAATAAAGTTGAAGGCATATCATACCTTAGTAGCACATATTTTTAAAAAGCAAACATTTCTCTCAGTAGTTCAAGGCCTTTTTAAGAAGCGTTTCTCAATTCACTTGCTTTGCATCGAGGTTTCTCTTTAAGAATCAATACTCTGCCCTAAGTAATTTTGTTCTATACCATCATTTTGGAAACAAAGAATGAGGTATGATAGTACAGTAATTGCTTTCCTCTGCTTCTGTATATTAAACCCTCTCACTTGTCTGAAAAAGCAAGTGAGATCAGCTGAGACCAGCTTGGTGGTCTAAAGCACAGCTGACTAGATGAGTGGCATAAAGCACGGCTGAGCCTCAGAATCACCCAGAGGCTTTACACATCACTCCTGCCCTGGGTGCATCCCAGACAGTTACCACAGAACCTCCGCAGCCTGGGACCCAGACATCGAGGCTGTCCTCATTCCCAGGCAACTTTACTGTGCAGTGGAGGTTGAAAACCAATGGATGAGAGGGACTCTAAGGTTCAAATCAGTTAAAAAAATTTTTCATAGCATGTCTAGATAAAAGCAGAGCTCCGTTTCTTAGATACTTACTTATTTTCTTTCTTTTTTGGGGGCAGTATTTTAAGTAACAATGGCAAACAAGCATGCCACTTTGTACACGTGAACTAAACTGATGCTGTACTTTGCTCCTAAACGGCATGGCTTCATAATTAAATTGTGACTACTCCTACAGTCTATGATCTAGTCAACAGGTTTTAATTAACCAGCTCCTCTGCCCCTAAAATAGTCTTTCAATTTGCAAACAGCCCCAGAGAATAAGCTTCAAGAAACTTACACTGGGAAAACAAGAACCCACTCAAGTTATATCTACTGTAATGGATATAAGAAAGTTAATTTACCACATGTTTTTAGTATATCTCATCTGTACTACAAATGTAAACATGATTATTCAGGAAGTACGCACAATTTTATAGCATGAAATAGATTTGAAAATAACCAATTGAGTTTTGTTCACTTCTTCTTCCTATTTTAAATGGTTGGTAATAAGTATTAGAAATTATTCAGTAGGGGGGCTTTCATTTATAATCCATAGGATGTGCTGAAAATTTTTACTATGATGACCTAGCAGTGCTACTAGACAGTAAATGTTTTAAAGTTTAGAGCAATCATCTGTGTATTTAGTTTATCTGTATATTTGGCTTATTTAGATATTTACATTTGTTATTGCATATATTTAGGGAAATATACACAATGGGTTTTACTTTAGATTTTATGAAAAATGAAAAGTAAGTAACATTTAACACTAGTGCCTATCTCTGTTCTGAGTGCTTCTACAGATGTGAATTCATTTATTCCTCAAAATAACTGTGAAAGAGATACTATTATTGTTTTCCATCTTGTGTGTGAAAAATAAGAGGTGTGAAGAAGGTTCATTTGCCCAGGGTTACTGAGCACAGGGTGGAAATGGGATCCCAGGGAGCCTGGCCCCAGAGTACAAGCTCTGCCTCCACAGTTAGAAAGATATTAAGACACCTTGTTGGCTGATATATTTTCTGAAATGGCTTTAAAATGATATTTAAATTCTGTATATCATTCCTAAAGTTTAATGTCTGGTCAAGAATTTCACAATTCAGGGATCTTTTGATATAATACTCTTTAACAGCTAAAGGAGTATAAAAATAAGCACTCAGTTTCTGAATTGCATTATTAACTTTGTAGGAGAGCAAGCTTTGGAAAGTGTGAAAGTGCAAGTGTTGGTCACTTAGTTGTGTCTGACTCGTTGTGACCCTATGAAGTGTAGCTGCCAGGCTCCTCTGTCCGGAAATCTCCAGGCAAGAATACTGGAGTGGGTTGCCATTACCTTCTCCAAGTGATCTTCCTGACCCAGGGATCGAACCCAGGTCTCCTGCACTGCAGGCAGATTCTTTACCATCTAAGTTACCAGGGAAGCCCAGTAAGCTCTGGATCAGCAGTTTATTACAGGATTTGAATGATTTTCCAATATGCAACTTACACGTTTATCAATATCACCGTGCTGAAGCTGAACGAACCGAGCACTGATGGCAGCAATGTAGCTCTGCTGATTGGAGAAAGCAACTCGACCAGCACCTTTTGGATATTTCAGCTCTGGATCTGTATCAATCCCTGCATAACACACTCCACCATACAGCCGGTCCATGATCATAGCAAGCTCCACTGGAAAACGAAAAGAAGTGCACATCAAACGGGAGAGAACACAGTGAATCAACAGTTAAAGTATGTTTTTAAGGGAAAGTCAACAGGATAATGCTCTCTTCTAGACCCAGTCCTCTGTCTTGTACCCCAGGGCCCATCTGCTCTCAGCGCAGCAGTGTAACACTCGGCGGTCCACTGGGCCAGACATACTGACATTTAACAGCCACTGTAGCACACAGTGTGTTCTACGTGGCGGCGTTCTTGGCCTTTCGCTATCTGTCTAAGCATGCCCCCGTGTGTTTTCACTGACTCATTACTGATTTATGGAAAATATGCAAAAGATGAAGCTGCCAACTCAAGAAGCTTGGCTTCATCCTTCTTGTTTTTATCTGTTTCCCATGGTGCATGCGATCCCATGAACTTGATTTTCAGACATATCTAGAATCCAACCACTCTCCCTCCATGACTAACATCCCATTTCAAGGTATCGTTATTTTTTATCAGATCATGGCAATAGCTTTATCACTTCATTTCTGATCCGTGCTCCTCCCACTCCCCAGTTTATTTTCGAAACAGCACCAAGAGTGATTCTCTTGAAGATATAGCAGATACCAATGGCTTAACTGTAATTTCTGCTTTGGAACTCTTAATGGAGGCACAAACTAGTCTTCAAAACCACAATCTTCTTCCAACCTACTCCAGTGTTCTTGATCTTCTCGGTAATGGTACCATTGTCCACCTAGTAGCTTAAGACTGAAAACTGAGATTAAGCCTTTGTGTCTACCTCATAAATACCTGTAACACTTCTTGTTCACTTGGCTCTTCTGCCACCACCACCACTAATTCAAGCCACTGCTAACTGTCTCCTGGACTGTAATAACAGGCTCCTGAATTGGTCCACCTATATCTATTCTCAACTCGACTCTCCCCTCCACGAGTCATCAGCTAAACTAGTCTTTCAAAAACGCAAATATGATATGTCTCTCACCTTTACTTAAAAACTCTTCATTTCCCACTACTCTGAGGATAAATATCAAATTAGCTGTTAGACTTTTATGATCGGACTGCTTTTACTTTTTCAGTGTCTTCTGTCTCTCCCTTCATTCCTTATACCCCAGGTGGTGACTCTGGGCTCCCCTCAGTCCCTCTGATGCACTCGGCCTCACTCCACCAAACATCTTTGAGTATGCTGACCCCTTTGTCTGAAACACACTCCACACAGTCTCCTTCTGTTCGATCTTCATATGTCAGCTCAAATACAAGTAGTTTGAAAATATTAGGCCACATCACATGTCCTTGCTTTATGCCCTTCTGTTTCCTGCAGTGCGTCTCTGTAGCAGGTACACCTGTTAAGTATTTACACATGTGAACAGTCCTTTAACATGCACCTCCCATGCTGGAAGAGGGTGTTCTCAGTGATGCAAAGAGCTAACACACTTCACAAGGGTGCACAGTATCATAAGACCTGCTTGTACTGTGGGCATTTATGTCTATAATTATGTACCATATGACATCTTCTGGTAGATCTCTGGATTCTGATGCCCGATGAACAGAAGCTTATCATTAAATTATCTGAAGTGTCTTTCAGATATCAGAATCAACCTGCATCAAATAAACAGACCCCAAATTCTCACATCTTGGAGAGTTACACTTAAGTGGACTTAAGTGCCTGAGTGGATTCTCCTTATAGAGTCTATCTGGAGTTAGCTATACATATTGATAGATGGTTGTATTATTCTCCAGTTCCTTAATGGTCTCAAGAGCAGTTTTTAGAATTTGTCTCAATTCTGTAGCAGCAGCTGTTGGCGGAGAATCTGCCCTTCGCTGATCCAGTGGTGACATGTACACACCAATGTTTACTGAATCAATTCATGTTTAAATGATTTTTGTAAAGAAACAAAATTTGTTAACATTCTACTTACCAGCCCGTAATGGCCTAGGAACACCTCCAACAAAAATTGTTTTTCGAGGATCCAAAGGCTGCGAACCGTCCATCACAAAATCACTATCACTCAAATTCCAAGGACGGATCTGAACCTGTGAAGAAGATGACATTATGGCCTAAGGTCTCGCTTCTTTAGTAGCTGATGAGCTTTCTGCCAATTGTGGTGCTTTCATAATTCAGAATTTTGGATAGATGGTTTTGGAAACAAATTGTAAATATTTTAATCTAGATACTGTAAGTTATATGAACTTTTAAAAACTGAACTCTTAATGCAGTAGTTTTTTCACTAATAATCATTTCAAAACAGTTTTTGGGAAACTTTCATCTGTAGCTTCAAGTTCGAGTAGCATTTACTTACAGGTTTGTCCTTGATGGTTGGGCTGGAAACACACAGATAGAGTTTTCCATCCTCTTCAATACAAGCATCAATCAGTGCCTGAACAGAGCTCTCTTCTTGAAAGAGAAGGAATGCATAGCCTATAACAGCCATGAAAATGAGGCAATAAGTCAAGTCAGTGATTTCATCCCAAACTTCAGTACTGTTTAGAAAACACATGCCTTTGAAGTAGATAAAAAATGAACTATCAAATAGGACTACAATCATCATGTTTCTATTGGAGAACACAACATCCTATAGAATATTCACAATACAAATACTCAGTAAATTAACTACTTTGTATAGAGCATTTAGTATCTGATACTGTACTAAGAGCTTCACATAAATATTTGATTTTCAGGGTAAATCTATCAAACTTAGTTCCCAATTTACAGAAAAAAAGAAAAAGAAAAACAAAACAAACCCTGAGGTGTCAAGTGGTTGCATTACTTGCCCAAAGTCAGTCACATAAGCAAGTGGTTGGCTGATTAAGGTCAAGCCTAGGTCTGCTCTAAGGCCTCCCGGGATACTGTCTCCTCAGAGCACTTGGCTGGATTAGCCAGCTGAGCCCGGCAGAAGCTGCAGCTTTCTTCATGCGCCCTCAGGGAGGGACAAATTCTAGAGCATACTTTTGGGCAGGTGGAAGGAGCACATGTGGAGAGGCCCTGGAATTCCTGTAAGTACAGGAAAATTCCACAGTCAACCTGACCGCTTCCAAATGATACTAAGAAAACTCCCTTAGGGAAGCTGGAATGAGACAGATTCCTTCAGGATGGGTCAGACTTTTAAATCAAGTCTCAAAGTGGCTGAGCAGCAGAACACTTTTTCCAAACAGTCTGGAGACTGGGTTTGCACTTTGGAGTCAAGTTCTTGCTTAGATTCCTATCCTTTTTTGGAAATATGCCCTTCCTCCTCTCCTTGTGACAACCAGTTGTCAAACTTTAATCAAATATTATGTATCCAGCAGGCAGAACAGACTTCATTATAAAAAGAAGGCATCAAAATTTACAAGTTTACTATTATGTGATTATTCCCAGTAGCAGATAACTGTAAGTGACCCCTTTCCCTTGACAAGATTTCTATGCAAACAAATTTAGAGCAATGAAATCTAGCCCCAGTATGAAGATGCCATCAAACAGGCCATCCATGTCTGTTCCATTAAACAATGGCAAGAGTGAGGGCATGTCTTACTAGAAGTCAAAAAAACACAGCTTACTGCCAATAATCACTTTTAGTGCCACAAAGATCTGATATGATACACAAAAGAAATACTTCATTTTAATAAAATTACTATATCTGATTGCACAAATAAGCAATCAAACCATTTCTATTTCTACACAAATAGAAACTTCCACATGTATGATTATGCAAGATCAGAAACATATCTTAGACTTTTATAATTGCTAGAAATAACTTAAGTAGGCTTGAAAAAATGATAAAATAAAGACTGGCTTTCTATATGTGAAGGCATTAATTTTGATACAAGCTATGGTTCTGAGAGCTATAACTGTTTTGTAATAATGGAGGGGTATAAGATCAATTTACTAAAATCGAATTTTAAATTGAATTTTTTATGTTATGTTTTATGATGCTAGTTTTTATATTAATATTTTAAATTGCAAAATAATTTTTATGATTATTAGGAAACATTTGTATCACAAAAATTAATTAAGCAATATGGCAGGTAAATTTTGATCTAGCTAAGGCAAGCCACTAAATATTAAAATAGTCTCGGCAAAAATACCACCTAACGTTCTTTAGAATTTATTAGTGCAAACTAATGTTTACATTCAATCCATGGAGTTGCAAACAGTCCCCCATGACTTGGCGAACAACAACGTTTACACAGGGTGAACCTTATTCACTTCAAAGGACAGGTGTGTATAAGTGTGGTTCAGCATTCAAGGGCTCAAGTCACTACCTCAATTACAAGGGAACTTCATCAACTGGATGTTTCTACACCAGTGTTTACCAAACCACGGAATGATGAATTCCAGCAATGACAAAAATGCATGAACATGAAAGCTTTAGGAACACTGGTCTTTGGCAAGGGGTACAATCAACTATAACTGTACCAAATACTATGATTTGCCACTGCTGATTTTTTTCCTTGTTTTCGGTTTGAGAAAATAACCATCACAAAACTACAATAACAATGCGACAGCAACAATGACAACAGCTCTTCTGTTTCATGAAATCAGTGTCAACCTACTTCACTAGGCTTAAATCCACCCCTTTATCTGAACAAGAAGTTCATGCAGAAAATGTGTGTGTGTCTTGATAGAAACTAATTCCAGTACCTTTCGTACTTCAATTCCTGCCTGTAACTCTACTGAACAACTTTTTAATCTATATAAATTGCATAGTCTCCTTTAGATTTAGTTCAAATTTTAACAGTGAAGCTTTCTTATACCTACTTCAGGTCAAAGGATAAACCATCCTACAGTATTTCTAGTTGTTTATATTCCTTATCAGGCAACTTTCAATCCATGCATTACTGAGGATACAAAGGTGAGTAAAGACACAGTCTGACAGATTACTGGAAAAATTTGACATTAATAGGTCTGACATTAATAGACATAACTCTAGCTGTGTTGTGGGAGAAACACTGGGGATATCCAGAGATGTGGACAGACTAAGTCACATGTCTGACATAGTCCAGACAAAGGATGATGGTAATTTAGGCAGAAACACCCAGAACTAACAGGCATTTTTATTGAACATTTGGTAAAATAAACTATAAAAGACAGGATCGTAACACTATGAACAACAGATTAAAACCAAGCTAAGAAAGGAACACCTACATCACTACGAAGCTAGCTTCCTCTCTACACCAAGGATGCAAGACCTCCAGGTCCAGCAAAGCCCGCAGCCGTGTGAAACTTCAGAGTGCACGGGGAGAGGCCCACAGCTGGGAGGAGCTTCTGAAAGCTGCCTGAGACCCAGGCTCGGAGGATTCCATAAGACTATTTTTTCCCTTTTTTTCCTGGTAATCTCTAGAATTTTATTTTTTTCATTTATTAGTTGAAGGCTAATTACTTTACAGTGTTGTAGTGGTTTTTGCCATACATTGACATGAATCAGCCATGGATTTACATGTGTTCCCCATCCCGATCCCCGCTCCCGCCTCCCTCCCCATCCCATCCCTCTGGGTCTTCCCAGTGCACCAGCCCTGAGCACATGTCTCATGCATCCAACCTGGACTGGCAATCTGTTTCTGAGAGAATAGCATTGAAACATGTATATTATCAAGGATTCCATAAGATTTAAAGGTTCAGTTCAGTTCAGTCGCTCAGTTGTGTCCAATTCTTTGCGACCCCATGGACTGCAGCATGCCAGGCCTCCCTGTCCATCACTAACTCCTGGAGTTTAGGGTGTATATATATATATATATATATATATATATATATATACACATCTTATATACATATATATATATATAAATCACATATATAAAAATCACTGCATTATTCCATTTCTCTAAAAAATGACATCAACCACTCATGGGAGTTCTGTAATTCTCAATGATAAAAGTAGAGATGGCCTGAACAATTTATCACCAGAGACCCTGAGCTGGTTTTTGGATGCCAATAACTCTTGCCGTGTTTCCTTTCCCAGAGTCAAAATCAGCTTATTCAATAGATGTACTGGAATCTTTTCCCAGGCTTGAAAAAATCCACTCAGCCATGAGAATAATGGTGTACTTTTTCATTTCTAAAATTACATTTGAATGATATTCAAAGTAAAGTCTTTCAACCTCCCCCTTTCTTTTATTCACCTACGAGGATCTGCCATGACTGGCTGGATTCAGGCTAAATTCTCTCCCCCTGCTCACTCCAGGCAGGTGATTCGTCCTCTGCCCACTGATGGTGGCATCACTTTGCTCAAAGGAATGTTAGATCCATTTGTGATGCCTCTTCTCTGGATCAGTCACCACAGTATCCTAGCACTATGTAACTCTGCACACCTTATCTCTTTATGTAACTGAGTTTTTCCTGACCATTCATTTTCTTCTCTATCTAAATTTACCAACAGAGCATATACTGATCTCTTGTCATCTCTGGAACACTTAAGGACATCTTGCAATACTTAAAATATTCATGGGTTTATATTTTATTCTCACTTCATACATTTAACAACCTCAGATATGCAGATGACACCACCCTTATGGCAGAAAGTGAAGAAGAACTAAAGAGCCTCTTGATGAAAATGAAAGAGGAGGTGAGAAAGTTGGGTTAAATCTCAACATTCAGAAAACTAAGAGCATGGCATCCGGTCCCATCACTTCATGGCAAACAGATGGAGAAACAATGGAAACAGTGGCTGACTTTATTTTGGGGGCTCCAAAATCACTGCAGATGGTGACTGCAGCCATGGAAGTAAAAGACACTTACTCCTTGGAAGGAAAGTTATGACCAACCTAGACAGCATATTAAAAAGCAGAGACATTACTTTGCCAACAAAGGTCCATCTAGTCAAGGCTATGGTTTTTCTAGTGGTCATGTATGGACGTGAGAGTTGGACTATAAAGAAAGCTGAGCACCGAAGAACTGGTGCTTTTCAACTGTGGTGTTGGAGAAGACTCTTGAGTCCCTTGGACTGCAAGGAGATCCAACCAGTCCATCCTAAAGGAAATCAGTCCTGGGTGTTCATTAGAAGGACTGATGTTGAAGCTGAAACTCCAATACTTTGGCCACCTGATGCAAAGAGCTGACTCATTTGAAAAGACTCTGATGCTGGGCAAGATTGAAGGCAGGAGGAGAAGGGGACAACAGAGGATGAGATGGTTGGATGGCATCATCGACTCGATGGACATGGGTTTGGGTGGACTCCGGGAGTTGGTGATGGACAGGGAGGCCTGGCGTGCTACAGTTCATGGGGTCGCAAAGACTCGGACAGGTCTGAGCGACTGAATTGACACACTTCTTAATTTCACTGAGCAGAGAAATTTTTTTAAATGTCTGTGCCCAAGCTACTGAGAAGTACACCTTAGGCAGAAAAAAGACTCAAATATTTGTTGATACAAGCCTTTGAAACCATTATCAAATCATTATAGAGAAGGCATAGCAAGTCTCTGATGATTCTTGACTGCCTTGAAGTGAAACTGAAATAGTTTTCAGAAACATTCTGCCTCACTCGATACATTGTTACCGACCTCTACAAATTACTCTATTAGCTTTTATACAAAGATGTACTTATATTCAATTCTAAAAGAAAACAGAGAGTAACTGATACTATTTCTTTGTGAAAGGGAAAGGGTCTTCCCCACTCAGGGATTGAACCTAGGTCTCCTGCATTGCAGGCAGATTCTTTACTTTCTGAGCTACTAGGGAAGACCAACTGTTACTTCAGCTCTCATTTAACTTATTCCCTAGCAAAGAGTAACAAAAAAAAAACCCCTCTTACCTTTTGGTGGAAAATAGGACTTGCTTTCTGCTTTATGAGGCCAATCCACGACCAAAGGTCCAAATCTTCTGAAGCTAGCAGTTATTTCATCTTAAGAAAGTACAATAACATGCATTAGGAATTAATTTTAATGATTCATTCTAAAAAAATCCTGTATTTTATATTATTTTAATTTTAAAGTACCAAATAGCCTAAGATGGAGTTTGTGGACATTTGAATTATAACTGAAAAAATTCCCAAAATGTAGTAATATTTTCTCTATTATTGCATTGTAAATGAGTGGCAGATTTCCCACAGTCTCACAAGTATTAGTTTCAGTATTTTAAATTTATCTTGAATTATCTTTCTTTAGTTATTATAACACAGGATAATTTTTACATATACTTACTATTCTTTATAAAATCTGAATTTTCTGTTTATGTACTATTTCCATTCCTTGTTTAGGTTGTATAGTCTCTCTGTTTCTAAAACTACATTTACACAAGTTGAATTTTTGATTCTTATACATTAAAGTTTCATGGTTGGTTACCTTTAATTCATTGTGTGTGGTGTGTGTGTGTGTGTGTGTGCACATGCACGCATGCATTACATCATATGGAAAGTTTTTATGTATGGTTATGTTACATACATACAAAAAGTTTGGTCATATGTGTTATAGTCATACAAAAAGTTTTAAATAAATACATAAAACAAAAAGTTTAATGTATTTAAATATGTTCTATATTTAAAAAAATAACAGATATGAACTACATGAAAATCTGATTTATAAAAAATGCTCACAGTAACAATAGGTAAAAGATAAAAAGTAAAGAAACAAACATATCCCCATTCACACTATATTTTAGGTTTTTTTCTTAGTATCACAAGTCATCATTTTACCTTCGTCAATGTCTGGAGGAAGACCACCAACAAAAACTTTTCGAGAGAAACGTTCTATTCGCTCTCCATTCTGATGAGCTGAATAACATGTGGGTGAATTTAAAACACCAACTTGATCATTATGCCCATCATCCAGCAAGCCATCATCTATTGGAAAGAGGGAAGAACGACCTAAAATATAAGAACAAATATAACCTGAATCTCAGATCTAAGAAAGTGATAAAAGTCAGGAATAAAAAGAGCAACAATAAATTAAAGGCTTAAAAATGAAAGTGGAAAAATAAAAAATGAAAGTGACATAGGTATCAAAAATTAAGGAACATTCAGATACCTTAAATGTTCAATTACTTGAATTCAAGAGAGACGTTGTTTGAGGGATGACTTAGAACTAAACATGGTCATATGACAACAATTATGTCATGGACAAACAGTAGATCACTTCGAGTTTTTAACAGAAAATGGCAAGAATCTGCTGTATGGGGATGGTTAGACTGGATATGTAATGGGAGAAACCTTTTAGAAATTGGTGGCAGAAAGAAACAACACAGACTAAACATATAAGAAAACAAACAAACAAAAAAGACACTTGCGGACGACAGTAATGCAGGATGAAAGTGCCAAGTTGTACTTGCATATGAGATCTTGATGCATTGCATGTGTGTCAGCTACATGACAGGTGGACAGAGATTCTGCACATGTGCACAACAGGAGACGCTCCCCTCCAGGGCTTCGGTCCCCACCTGAGCCCACCCTTCAGGACACACCCTTGTACAGGAACAGAATATATAACCCTCTGCAGCAATCCTGATGCTGGATTCTGTGGGGTTCACAATAAATAAGTAAATAAGATGACCTAGTAAAACAGTCTCTGAAGTGCTTCAGAGGAAGTGTGCTGGAGGAAGGGAGTAACCTGGCTAATCAACAGGCAGTTTCTTAAATACCCAAGTGAAACTGGACAGTAGCTGTGGTAAAAGGGGAAAATAGTAGTACTTAGAGAGTTAACAGAGGTAGGCTAGTAGAATGGGGGGCTTCCCTGGTGGCTCAGATGGTAAAGCATCTGTCTGCGATGCAGGAGACCTGGGTTCAATCCCTGGGTTGGGAAGATCCCCTGGAGAAGGAAATGGCAATGCACTCCAGTACTCTTGCCTGGAAAATCCCATGGACAGGGGAGCCTGGTAGGCTACAGTCCATGGGGTCGCATAGAGTCGGACATGACTGAGCAACTTCACTTCAGGCTAGTAGAATATTTGTAAGAAAATGGTTTTGAATAAATTTTTCAAGTGGAAGGAGAAACATAAGAGAGAGAAGGGAAAAATGAATTTATTTAAGAAATAAGAGTCATGTTGGCTGAAGCATGTTGGAAAAAAGGAAAATAAAAGCTAGAAAAGCACCTTGGGCTAGACAGAACACTTAGCCTTGAATGCCAGGCTAAAGGACATATTTTATTTAGTCAGTAACAAAACAAAAAGGAACAAACAAAAAACAACTGAATACAGGCGTTCAAGCAAGATAATAACTTTTCCTATATTTTAGGAAGACTCCTCTTGGCAAATATGGTTAACATGGTGAGAAATGAGCCAATGAGAAGTCTTTCAAAAATTCAGGAAGGATGGAAAGCTGGAGGTACCTGAAGCAGTGAAAAGTAGATGGGAAATAAAACAGAAAAAAAAGAATGGAAAGGAGGAATCAAAAGGTTTTAGAATATGAATGGTAAAAATCATTAACTAAATAAATATAAGGACAGTAAAGACCTGAAACTGCGACAGGAAAGGGAAATGTGTCCTAGACATGTGAAAGTTCAGAAGCTTCAATATCTGAGATGTTCAGAAATGTGAAGAAAGAAGAAGAGTCACATTTCTGAGACAGTAATCTGGGGTCAACTCACCAGTAAACTGGTGAGAACTCAATGTTCTTTATAACATCACTGGTGAGAACCCCAGTGAGAAATGATAAGGAGAGCACCTCAGGAAACTTACAAGGGAGAAATGAAAGAATAAAAAAAGCAATGAAGGAACTATGTGAGATGTTAAGATAATGATTTGAGAAAAATGACAATCTGAAGACATGCATGATCTTTGAATGTAGTAGCATTAGTAAAGCTGCAGGTAGAGTTTTGTGAAGTACAGACATCAAAGAAATTTATTACAGAAAGAAAAAGAAAATAAGGATATAGGCAAGGTTTATTTTTCCCCAAGATGGAGTAAAGGATTTTTTTAAATGAGGAGAAAATGCATATAATCTGTAGTATGTCTTAGTATATACAAGTTATAAATATTCAACATAAAGTGTCATTAATGTGTTATCATCTTGAAAAGTATGGTACATAACGATGCAACTGATGTAACACAGACAATCTGAAATGTGATGGCCAGCACAGAACTGGGGTTGTTGGGCTGATGAGGGGGTGACATGTCTGTGAGCTATAGCTAGTGAGATGTTAGAAATAAGAATTTTAATTTTATAAGATCAAAAATAGGGGGAAAGATCATATTTGATAGAGGAAACAAATTATTCTGCATATTCAAATTCAATTTAACAAGATGTTCTGAAATATACCCATATTCACTGAGTAAGTCTATGAATATTTAACTTTCCCAATACCTTTGCTATCAGGAATAAGGACCATGAAAAGCAAATGTTAATATTCCCCGTGATCAACAGAAAGAAAGCTCTTCAAAATGACACTATTTTCCTTAAAGAGAACCTCATCAAGAACCATCACAAGTAATACTAATTATGAATAACTAGTTCAACTTTCTAGGGTTGGACTTTAAATGAATAATTCTATATTTTAAGAAGGATAAGATGAGGTAAAGAAACAACATCGATATTTAGTTTTTGGCTAAAATGATAAATCCAAATTTTATACTTATTTCAGACATGCCAATACTTAAACAGAAATACTGAATGCAGTGATAAAGAAAATCACTATATAAGCAATATCAGAGAGGTGACCCAAAATGACTTAAAATTTTTCTCTTAACTATAATATTTTAAGTATACTCATTATATACTAATGAATTATTCTCCAGGCCAGAATACTGGAGTGGGTAGCCTTTCCCTTCTCCAGGGATCTTCCCAACCCAGGGATCGAACCCAGGTCTCCTGCATTGCAGGCAGATTCTTTACCAGCTGAGCCACAAGGGAAGCCCTATTCTGTATTACTAACTATAGAATTTTAACTATAGATACTGTCTAAAATAAATACTGCAGTTAATATAGTAACTATCAAAGATCTAAGTGTAATCTATGTCTAAAATCTATTAATCAAAAGTTCAGATCAACAAAAGATACAATGAAAAGGCTGGGAACATGTCATATACTGGCCATACTCATGATCATCTTTATTGCTGGGAAATCATGACCACTTTCCTTCTAGAAGCCATAAAAGCTCTAGAGTTAAATACTCATTTAAAAGAGGAGTTAACTAAACATACATCATCAACAAAAATACTGTTTTTCATCTTTCCAATTATCCTTCCCTGTAACCCAATTAACATGACTATAAAAGAAGAACCACTAAATAATTATGCCTTCCATGTACTTCAAAAATACTTTCTAAGAATGAATAAAAAAGAAAACTAAAATTACCAACACTAAGTATGAAAAAGCAGACATCAATCAACACAAAACGTATGGTTTTTAACAGACTGAGGAAATTCCCATCTATTCCTAGTTTCCTCAGAGGTTTTTTTAATCATGAATAGCTGCTGAATTTTATCAGATATGCTTACTATAACTGTGGTATTTCTATTGCATGCATATATGCATGGTATTTCTAATTCCTTCTGTTTATGTGGTGAATTATAGTAACTGATTTTCAAATGTCAATCTTACATTTCTGGGATAAATCCCACTTAATCATGATACATATTCCATTTCTATAAATTTCTGGATTCAGTCTATCAATATGTTCTTTAGAATTTCTACCTCTATTTCATGAGGGATACTGGTATATAGTTTTCTTATAATATTCTTGTCAGGTTTTAGTATCAGGGTTATAAAATAAGTTAGGAAAAGCTCTACTTACAAACACAAATGCAAGCAAATTAGCTTACACTAAGATATCTAAAATGTACAATAAAATTTTAAAAAGTAAATATGGTAGTTACAATAAATATTATAGACAGAAGCAATAAGAGATGAAAGAGCAAAATAGGACTATATAACGTTGGCCAATCACTGCCAGTGAAAGAGTGTGAGATGGCCTCCATGTTACCAGGCCTATTCAACAGGTCACCAGGATCTCCTTTCAAGATGAAAGCAACGTAACAGAATGCATACTCCTGTAACAGGACTCAAAGTACACCACCTCCAAAACCAGGAAATCAGCAAAGATTTTGTAGTTAGAAAAACTGTAGCCACCACAAATATGAGCCTCATTTATGATGTTAATCATGATTTCATGATTCTCTGGGGCTTCCCAGGTGGCTCAGATGGTAAAGAATCTGCCTGCAAAGCAGAAGACCTGGGTTTGATTCCTGGGTCGGGAAGATCCCCTGGAGAAGGAGATGGCTTCCCACTCCAGTATTCTTGCCTGGAGAATTCCATGAACAGAGAAGTCTGGCAGGCTATAGTCCATGGGGTTGCAAAGAGTTGGACATGACTGAGCGACTAACACATACCAATACAATCATGGTTCAAATTACTCACTTTAAAGTATTTTTAAAAAATCACTAGAGAATGCATGGAACTTCTCTATATCCATATAAAAACTGTTGTTCTATACAAGCAATAATAAAAACTCTACTATGAGCATCCTAAACTGAAGACAGAACTAAAGACAAACTTACATACGTGCTTGTATTACTGACAGTTGCGCTTCACTATCTGGTCCTCTGTGTGTGCAGGTGTATGTGTAGCACAAATGGATGCAGGTAGAGAAGTAATGGGCAATTACTAACTTTGACACTGGCGGCTATGCTAATATGCCCAAAACTAATCATTATACTTGGCTTTTCAGATGGTAACCTTATTCTAGATGCCCAGAATAAAGACATTTTCCAACACAGAAACACAGCATGGACAGGCAGGAGAGGAAAACAAAATATTTGTGCAAAACTAGTCAACTTATAGCTTAAAGGTAAGCATGGTTCTTTGATTTTAATGTATATCCTGTACTTTTATTTACTGATTGTTGGTTTAAAAATTAAAGCAAATGCAAAGCAAAG